TACATTTTGCTAAAGTATTTCAGATCCTCCCTCCGGCAGCAGAATATGAAAATATGAAAAAAGCAACAATAGTTTGGAAAAATGGTAGAAGTGATAGCTATTTCGGAAATCACCACATTTCCTCATCAGACTTCTTTCAGTAGGATTCGAACCGACGATCCCACCGACTCAGCCAGTTGCTTATGCACCGTGCTAAGTACGCCTTGTAAATTATCGTTTGCTTTTTTCCACTATTTTCATTTCTGTTATGCCAACACAATCAAGCGCAGCTATTCCACTGCAATCCACTTGATCATGTGGTTGTTGGTATTGTTGGTTTTTGCTAATAATTCTATTTTTAGAATGTTTAACTTTTAGGTGTGCTCGTCCTTAAGTTATTTGGTTTTGTTATTTTTTTGGCCTTATAATAATTATATTCAACAATTTATATTGAGCTCGAGGCCGTTTTTTTAAATGAAAATTTATTGTGGAAAAGCAACAATAATTTGAAAAAATGGTAGAAGTGATAGCTATTTCGGAAATCATCACATTTCCTCATCAGACTTCTTTCAGTAGGATTCGAACCGACGATCCCACCGACTGAGCCAGTTGCCTATGCACCGTGCTAAGTACGCCTTGTAAATTATCGTTTGCTTTTTCCACTATTTTCATTTTTGTTATGCCAACACAATCAAGCGCAGCTATTCCACTGCAATTCACTTGATCATGTGGTTCTTGGTATAGTTGGTTTTTGCTAATAATTCTATTTTTAGAATGTTTAACTTTTAGGTGTGCTCGTCCTTAGGTTTTTTGTTTTTGTTATTTTTTTGGCCTTATAATTGTTGTATATAATAGCTGCGCTTGATTGTGTTGGCATAACAAAAATTAAAATAGTGGAAAAAAGCAAACGATAATTTACAATGCGTACTTAGCACGGTGCATAGGCAACTGGCTCAGTCGGTGGGATCGTCGGTTCGAATCCTACTGAAAGAAGTCTGATGAGGAAATGTGGTGATTTCCGAAATAGCTATCACTTCTACCATTTTTCCAAACTATTGTTGCTTTTCAACAATAAATTTTCATTTAAACAAACGTCCTCGAGCTCAATATAAATTGTTGAATATAATTATTATAAGGCCAAAAAAATAACAAAAACAAATAACTTAAGGACGAGCACACCTAAAAGTTAAACATTCTAAAAATAGAATTATTAGCAAAAACCAACAATACCAACAACCACATGATAAAGTGAATTGCAGTGGAATAGCTGCGCTTGATTGTGTTGGCATAAAAAAAATGAAAATAGTGGAAAAAAGCAAACGATAATTTACAACGCGTACTTAGCACGGCGCATAGGCAACTGGCAGAGTCAGTGGGATCGTCGGTTCGAATCCTACTGAAAGAAGTCTGATGAGGAATTGTGGTGATTTCCGAAATAGCTATCATTTCTACCATTTTTTCAAATTATTGTTGTTTTTCCACAATAAATTTTCATTTAGAAAAACGGCCTCGAGCTCAATATAAATTGTTGAATATAATTATAAGGCCAAAAAAATAACAAAAACAAACATTCACTATTGCAAAACTGGATGAGCTACTCCGTAATCCGTGATTTATAAGACTGTTTTGCTGTAGGTTTAGGTCATTATATAAAAAACATTCATCTTACACAAGAAAGAAGAAAAGATATCCAACCCCATGAAGAATGAGCCACTAAAGCGAACGGCGTACTTAGTTTTTAAATACAACCAACCATAAAGTTACCCACACTGCCTAAAACGACCATATGGTATTATTTTTCACGAATCTTCAAATTTATTTGTTAGGATTTTCCAGATAGTAGTATTTTTTCTAAAATTAAAATGCTCAAGATTGTCGCTAATTTAATGTAGTTTTTGAAACAGCTAACAGATTTAAAATTTTTTATATTTGAACTAGTAAATTAGGTTTAAGTAAAGCCATGTTGAGTACAATCAGGTCAGACATACTTTAAAATTTGTTGAAGTTTTTAGCAATGTCGGTTTTATATGCTAAGTAGGGAAATACTTTCATGTGCGCCTCTACTATTTGAAAGAAATGAATAATTTCCGAAGATGCCAACCTCTAGAAGGAATGTCGAAGGGTAGGTAGCTAGGCCTCGCCAGCTATCCAACCCGAGGCTATAATGTACGTATAATTAATTAATTAATTGTACAATAAATTAATGTGTATAAAAGAATAAGGTATGTATTTGAAAATAAGTAAAAATTAGTAAAGAAAATATGAAAAATGTTAATGTATAGTATTAGTAGAAGAGCAATCAATTAAATAAGTTAATAATGTAATTGACAAGATTTTTTATAGGTCTTAAAGACTGTCAATAAATAAATAAAAAATAAATAAAAATCAAATATAAAAATAAGTATCTATGTACAAATATCACTTTTCGCTCACTCCCTCAGCAGTCGCAATGGCCGAGTGAGTAGAGCACTGGCATGCCATTCGAGAGATCCGAGAACGAAAATCTTCCTTTTCCTTTATTTATTTTTTTATATTTTTATTTTCTTGTTATGTTGTTGTTTTGATTTGTATATTTTAGTGTTTAAAAAATAATTTTTTTTTTAACTTCCTTTAATTTTTAGAAACAGTCTTCCGGCAACTATCTTAAAAGCTCTTTTCTGTATTTCTAACGACTAATTGGAAGATCTGCTAACGAGGAGGTCTTAGCGTTTTGTTTTATTTATCTTTTAGCAATAAGTTTTCTAAAAACTAAACGAAATTAAAAAAAGATGTTTGTTAAAACAATAAAAAGTAAAAATTTTAGGAAATAAAGGTAAGAAAGAAAAAAATTTATTAAAAATTAAATTTAAATGAAATTAAAAATAGCTATTTTTTAAC